TTTTGAGTAATTGGATAGTTCCAAAGTTTGACTGCTCCAGTGTGATCATTCTTGGACATCTAAGAAGGAATTTGGCGGGATCTAATTGAGGACAGAGGGGGATCCTCTGTGCCCTCATGCTCCCCTCCACCAGTCCCAGCAGCTTTTGGGTTTATGTTAGGACCTAATCCCAACCTCAGGCTTTTTCTCTCTGCTGCCTGCCTTTCAGTCAGTCCTGTCCCATCGTCTGTTGTCCGTCCTGCACACCACTGCACATTTCCCACTAGCCGCCTCCTGTCTTCCTGCTCTGCCTGTTTCCCGTAGGACTGAGGTATGAGCTGACAGAAGGGTCCTAGGTGAGACAGCTGTGGGTGCCCAGCCTCCTAAGCTAGGTCTCTCCCTGTCTGTCTCTCTCTCTGGGACTAAGAAGCCAGACTTCCCAAGGGCTCTGGAAGCTAATTCCTGATTAACCCAGAGATCAAATCAAAACTGACCAGTCTTCATCTCTCAGCCCCTCTCCATTCCTCAGGGCTTTGTTTTACATCTACATTGATCCCAGGGCCACTGCACTTGTCCTTGCCACACTCCTCAAGGGCATCCTGCAGGCACTTGGCCATAGCCTTGAGACGGGGGAAAGTCTGTCTTTATGTTGGTATCTTGGTTCCTGACTCCCCTTTCTAGCCCTAGAGAAATGCAGTGACCATCCAGGATAACCAAGATCTCTTTCTCACTCTTGGCTCTCCTAACTCACCCCTGCCCCCACTCCCCCAAGCAAAACAAAACAAAAAACTGATCTTACTTGAGGTATTAGGTAGGTAAGGGATGAATGATCACATTGGAGTTTCAAATTAAAAACACCAAAAAAAAAAAAAATTGGTTCTCTACACTGGCTAAGAATATTGCTCTACACTGTAATTTTAAATGTCATGTTTCTGTATGAATGTAGTGTGGGTTTGAGTAGCATTGTGTGTGAGTGGCCCCACAGGTACATTCACCCGCTAGTCACCTTTCGCAGCCCCTCAGTTTGATGAAGAAAGAGAAACACAAAGCCTTAAGCTCTTTGAATTCTTCCTTTACCGAGTGAGCATGGTTCTAACAGCTGGGGATGGGCCTATATTGGAAACAGCCCCTCCTGCCCCCCACCCATTCTTCTCGCTCAACATGTCTCATTCCCAACTGACAATGAGTTGGCTAGAAATTTAAAACTGTTCTGTAACTTTAAAACTTAGATTATGCTTTGTTGTAATTTTTTGCACCCTTCTGTTAAAGATGCATAGTTGAGCTCTGCCTATTTTTTTTTTTTTAACCAAATAAGCCCTTACTTTTCCTCTTGTCTCTGGGGAATGTGAGCTGATGTTCTTATTTAAGATTTTGGGTTTTGTTTACTATACTATCCACTGTTCTTTAGCCAGAAATTCTCTAGTGATCTGAAGCAATGTGACTGAAGACCAGTTTTTAAGTTATGTGTTGGCAAGTTGCCTTATATTTAAAAAGAAAAAAAAAAGAAAAAAAATGCCTGATTGTGTTATGCCAAATGATAGCAACATGAAGTCCTAATTTATTGTTCCCGGTTATTTTCCTGCCGTTTGTGAACACTGGTACCTCCCTGTCCCTGAGCCCTCAGGAGCCACCTGTAGCTTCTGGTGCAGTGCCCTCTCCCAAGGTGTTGGCCACCACCTCACCCAGGGCCCCCTTGCAGTTCTTGCTTCTCTGAGTTAAATTGAAAGAGCACCACTGTCTTCTCCTTATCCCTTGCTTGAGCTCCAAACCAGATTTTTGCTGTAATTTTTTTCCAATGCCTCTCCCCAAAAGGTGAGCTGCCATTTTAGGAAATTGGGCCAGACACCAACTTGGGGGCTTTAAATCAAACCTCAAACCCATCTCTTCCTGTGTAGGGGTGCAAGTCTCTGAAGCTCTCACTCCCACCCCTAATCTGCATGGAAAACGTACTGTGACCCCACCTCCACCCTCAACTGCCCTCGCCTTTGGTGTGAGATGTTTCCTAGTTCACCCTGAGCCCCTCCCCCCTCTGCCAGCCAATCCCCAACCAGCAATAAGGGTCCAAACCTGGGCCTCCTATCCACACTCCCTGCCTCCATCCCACACTGCCCCTAGGGAATGCTAGGATTCCCTGCGCTGTCCACATACTGTAGCATTCATTCTCCACCCCTCATCTCACCTGTGGTGGTTTATGGGTGTGATGGGGTTTTTAAGGTTATTATAAACCAGTAAAAAGAAAAAACTCACCTTTCGATCTTGTCCTATTCGTTGAATGGTGTCAGTGCTTGAGGGATTTTTCTTAATGGGTTCTAATGTCTCATTTGCTAGAAGGAAAATAATTCTTCATTTTTAGAAGGGGTACCCCTAGAGTATTCATCTCCTTCAGAAGCCCTCCCAATCCATTATTGCAGACCAGGTGCTGTGGGGATTGTAAGACTCTTTAGTCAGCCCCTTGGAGGTACCCAGCTGGCTGGACCTCTTCCGAGGCAGCACGCTAGGGCCTTGGTGGGATTTGATGGGTAAGTATGGTTTGCTGCCCTTCACTGGAGGCCTGAAGTGTACTGCCACTTTCACTCCAGGGACTATCAGTTACTGAAAAGTTGGCACCTGGTTTGCTAATAAGCCGATTTAGACGTCCCTCCCTCCCCTTCTACTTCCACCACTTTGGGATTTCTGAGGGCCTCTGGCAGGCAGAGGTAGTAAGTGCTATAATCTGTAACGTGAAAAGTGGCCCTCTTGATTTGACTCTTATAAGTTGAGTATTGGAGAACTTGACCTTGTTTTTTCTGCAGGGGGAAAAAAACCCAAAGGAGCTATTTACAGTTGACCCTTGAACAACTTGGGGGTTAGGGACACTGACCCCTCTGCACA